GGAGGAAGAATTACATTGGACAGGGGAACTCGGTTCCTTCTGACTTAGCTCAATATCAGCTGTGGACCCAAGAAACAGATCACCCCACTCTACTTGCTGCATCGATGTAAAAGGAACAACATACCCGCCAGGCTTTGATGCAGGGACTTAAGGAAACAATGTGCTTTAAACATCCCACAGCACCTCTGACATCCTGATGCCAGTGTGTCTAATGAATGGATAACTCTCAGCTGTCGAGGGCAGAGGCTGCCTCAGTGATACACAGGTTTAATTTGTTCTGCATTGAGGCAGGGGTGCTTGCTGCGTATGTGAAGATCTGATTTAGTGCAGTATCCATCTACCTTCTTGAGAGAGAGAGTAAAGATATTTCCAGTTGTCCTTGTTCAGCACTGATAAAGTCGCCCAATGACAGCTGTTGGTTGGAAGGAAGAGGCAGCTAGCCTTGAACGATGCTGCTGAGCAGGGTGGGAATCAATTAAGAGCTCCCAACATTTCAACCCACAGATGCAGAGATGCCCCAAAGGAGTCCCACCCAGAAGCCCTGGAAGGATCAGCTCTGCTCCCCACCAAGTGTCAGGTCTTCTGACAAGGGGACAGGGTTTAGGTTAATCTTCCCATATACTGCTATGGAGACCAGACGAGAGACAACCAGACAGACTCTTGCCAGGGTACACAAATGCCCACACCTAAATCACACATACAGTTAGGAAACTGAGGAACAAAACACCTTCTGACACAGCAGAGTGTGGATAACATGGCCAGGTTTCTTTATCCCATGTGATATGGTACCTAGGCATGTGTGTTCACAGATGGGGCGCTTTATTGACTTCATCATAAAGCCACCATTTTGGAACCAAATAGCCTCTGTTCAGCCTGGGCCTGCCTCTTTGTCTGAGTCATAGGAAGGAGGCTTTTCTAATGAGCACCTGTCATTCCCTGCAGGATTTACAAAGAAAGGTTCACAGATGGTGCTCTAAAAAATTTATTGAACGAATCTCACTGTATTAGATTACATAATATATTCTGTAATGTTTCCGTGTTTTTCCCCAGCTGGTCCAGTTCGGAATGCAAGATATTCTCAGAATGTTATCTGAAGATACCATGCCTTCAGGTCTCACAGGTAGGTGCTGACACGGATGAGTTTTCTCTTCAGAACTCTGGCCAGGAAAGGGTTCTGTGGAGTGTGTGTGTGTGTGTGTATGTGTGTGAGTGTGTGCACATATAGGCACTACATCGTTTCTGTGCCAGAAATTCCTTGTGACTTTCAGTCGATGAGCCCCGCCCTGTCACCTAGCCCTTAGGTTCAAGTTTTCTACTTGGGGATGTACTTCAGTTTCCTCTTTCACTGAAGGGTTCTGGTAATTACTGTGGTGCTGGTTTCCTGAATCACAGATGACACAGGACAGACTTTAGGAAACAAAAGATTGAAAGTTGCATTGGGCACGATGGTGCATACCTATACTCCCAGTACTTGGGCAGAAAGATTGCAGGTCTAGGACAGCCTGGGCTACTTAAAGAGATCCTGTTCCAAAAAGAAAAATTGAGAGACCCGAGGCAAAAAGCTTATGTCCAGCATAAACATGCTCAATGTTTAATCAGCCTGTAAAATGTACAGTCCTATCTTGAAGTCCAGGATTCACTTTTTAAACATTTCTGCACTCTTACGAACACACTGATGAATTTTTTGGCCTTTGCTGGGAATGTCCATTCTTACATGAGGATTCTTTCTCACTCAGTGACCAATCCGTTTCCAGGGAGATAATGACTTACATTTTTAGTACGCTCTTTGGGTTTCAGAACCTAGAAACTATTATAGTTGACAGTTAGCAACGGGCAGAAATCTGTATAGCCCAAGGTCTCAGCATTTTAAGCTGTCATTTTCTTCTGAACTTTGGAGA